TAACGAATACTATATTTAACAGTTATTGTTATCATTGTTGTTATTCATATTTGGTAACATGTTATATATACACCTGTGGTAATACATGTTTGTCGACTTCGTAACTTTAAGGAACCTTTTTTTCTTTGTAATAATCTTCTTGATCATTTTGTCTTTGTTCTTTTTATATTTATTTAATATTCGTGAACACGAAACAAGAGAGCCGAATGGAAGACTCCAGACCGGAGACTAAGAAATAACACGATAACTTGTCAATCGAGATATATGTATATAGGCATATATATATGTATACAGCTAATAGTACAAACGAGTAAGAGAGAACACCGGATAATGAAAGTGAAATAAAAATTGAGAAGACGAAATAAGAAAGCTAAAATAAATGTAAATTAAAGGAAGGATTAAAAATAAAAATAATAGCAAAAAAAAATTTTAAAAAAGGAATTTAAAGAAGAGGAAAGACAAGCTACTGAAGAAACTCCTGTTCACAACTCAGTATTTTTACGTTCGCCGACCACTGAGCAACAAACTTGTATTCTTAATTTTTTCTGTTTTTATTTATATTTTATGTATTGTTTTTATTATTTTCTTCATGTTAACACGTGGGTAAGTTTACATATTCTTCTTTTATTTAATTTATTTGAAACATATACTTCCAGACCTGACAATTTTATAATTTCGTATTTAAGAACATTTATTTTGAATTTTTTCACGCAGTTTAAAATCATTTCAAGGAAAGAAAATCCTTTAAGGACATTCATACGTTATACTAGATCGGGCATCTATTTTAAAAAATCAGTTAATATAAATTAGTCGTTGATTTGACGTCTATCTTTATTATTTATTAAATTTCGTAAATCTGTAATTTCCAACCATGTAATTAGTTGTACTCAGGTGTTTATTTTCAGAACGGTCAAAAATGAACTAAAATAATTTTAATTATACCAAGTAAAATGATAAATAAATAATTTAAACGTTCGTCAACACGATGTTTTTGATGCATTTATAAAAACTACACGGATCAGAGAATTTTTTAAAATGTTATTTATTACAATATCTATTTGATTATCATAAATGTTATGATTTTTAATTAAAAAAAAAAAATTCTGATCTACTATAAAATTATATGTAAAAAATCTAATTATTAATTGTTAATAAATTTTGGAAATAATTGATGACGAATTTTCAATCTTTGGGTAAAGATCACTGTTTGATTAAATTCATCAAAATTAAAATTTTTATCTATACTACCTATCACGTTTTACGCATGAACGTCCTTAAACGCCTAAGATTGTACCATTTCTGACGATGTCTGGCGTAACGAAAAAAAAAAAAAAAATCGAAAATTTTATTTCAATATCGACTGTTAGAGAAAAATAGATTTATAAAATTATAAAAAGTATCAAATTAATAAAAAAATAATAATTCTTCAAGTCAACAAAAGCTTTTTTTAGAGCAAGTGATATCATTCTCGAAGAAAAATTATCTGAAATAAAATGAAATTTTTTTTCTGTGTATTAAGGTAGTTGTTGTGGTTAAGGCATATGCCGTCAGAAAATTCTAAATTTTTGTATACTTATCAAGGAAATTATGATACAATTACCCTTAAAATTTTAAGTCGATTGACCACCGATAACCCGAGATGGAAACAATAGAAAATTCGATATTTAACATTGATGGCATACGCTCTCAGCAGATCTGTACCAGTTTCTTAGTTATAAAAAAAAACTAACTGTCAGAAACTTTCAAAAAACTGACAGTCTTCTAAAGTATTTGTTGTGAGTTTAAAAAAAAATAAAAAAAAATTTTTGATCGCCTAATTATTTATAAATAACGGATTGGAGTTCAACAATTTATGAAAAAGTATATATCTACAAAGTTGAACAGAAACAATTGTATGGGTTGCGTCTCCACGAGTACAGTCTTGCGTAAAAATTATGGATGACTTAGCTACAAGCTCATATACTTTTGCGGCGCGTATAATCTCTAATTTTTTGACAATATTGTACCATGACAATTACCTTAAATTAATGCTTGAAAATGAGTCGTTTCTAACAAAAATTTTTAAATTTTGAAGAGCATAAAAAATTTATTTTGTTAAAACAAATTGGCGACATGACATCGAAAAGACCTGCGTACACTGTAAAAAATTTGCGGAGTGAACGCGGAGTGAATGAGGAGTGAATGCTTTTTAATTGATTCACTCCCAGCGGGAGTGATATTTACTCCGAGAAGGAGTTAATTTTTATTAATAGTAAAATTCACTTCGCATTCACTCCCAAAATAAATGAATTTAGAAATAAATAAATTTTTGTGAAGAAAATATTTTTATAAACCTTTTTTATATTTAATTATTAAAAATTTAATTTATTATTTTTCATAATATTTCATTTTAATCATTATTATAATGTTTTTATTAATTTTTTTTTTATAAATTAATTATAATTAAAAATTTTCAAAAAAAATAATATATATACATACTAGCGGACCCGACGGACGTTCTCATGTACACACGTCTTAAATTAAGAAATTTTAGGAATGAGCTTGTATAGTTAAAAACATCATTAGCTAACAATATACAATGGGCATTCTTCAATAATTAACATTTTCGTAAATATAAGCCCATTTTGATTTTATGCTCATCAAGAGCTTTCATTTGAGTACCCACATATTTGATATATTTTATATATTTATATATATTATATATATGTATATATGAAAAATATATCAAAAATGCATGTGAGTACTCAAATGAAAGCTCTTGATGAAACGTCAAAATGAGTTTATATCTTAAAAAATGTAAATAATTAAAAAATGACACTGTATCTTGTCAACTATTGACCTTTTTAAAGATATAAGCTCATCCCGATGTTACAATCATCGAGACTTTTCATTTGAGTATGCACATCAATTTTTTATATATTTATTTATATATATTATATATATGTATATATGAAAAATATATAAAAAATGCAAGTGGGTACTTAAATGAAAGCTCTTGATGAGTGTAACATAGGGATGAGCTTATATTTTTAAAAACGTCAATATTTAAGAAAGTACTATAAAATATATGAAAAGTGCATGTGGGTAGTCAAGATCAACAACAATTTATAAAAAAAGAATCTGTTAAATAAACATTTTCTCGTGGACTGAATTGTGAATCTAAACCATTCTGGAATCCACCGGAAGACATACAAAAAATTTAATTAAAATCGGTCCAGTCGTTTAGAAGGAGTTCAGTGACAAACACACGCACAGAAGAAATAAATATATAAAGATTAATTTTGAAATTTTTTTTGTAGAACGAAAATTCATCCTTATTTTATTTATTGTAAAAACTCCGATCGCGGATGTTTTTCGGAGTGAAATTCGAAAGCACTCCGAAATCACTCCGCAAATAAAAACTCTGGATTCACTCCCTACGCGGAGTGATTAAATACTTCACTCTGGAACTCCGAGTGATGGGAGTGAAAAGGGAGTGAAATTCACTCCCGATTCACTCCGGATTTTTTACAGTGTATTAATTAAAATACAGTTTCAAAATTATCGCGATCAAGTTTCGATGAGAAAATGAATCGGGACTCCAGTGCTTTTGAATATGAAAGACAACTCGGTAAATATTCAATAATTAGATTTTTTCTTGCCAGAATACTCTGAAGGTATTACTTTTTTGAAACTTCATAGAAAATAAATTTTTTCAAAATTATAATAGGTGTTCTTTCCCTACTTTTAATAATATACATAATACTATTTATACAATAATATAGTCTTGTAATTATTCTCTTATCTTCCTACTCGTATTTTCCACTGCTACTTGAGATTCAATCTAATTTTGTTTGCAAATAATTTTAAATCATGACACTTTTTAATTATGATAATTCTGTGTGATACGTGTTTCTCATTACTTCTAATGGGTTTATAAAATCTTTTTGTTTCCGTACGGATTATATAAATTCCTAAACCCGGACTAAGCTTATGTCTACGAAAGATATTTACAGTAATCCTATACAAACTTTTTCGTAAGTAAATATTAAATCTTCTATTCATTAAAAATACTAAAATTAATCCCTCATTAATCTTTAGTTTGTACAACAATTAACAGTCTTGTATTTTTCGTGAATTATTAAAAATATTATCAGACAAAATTATTCAGAAATGAATAATGATATTTAGAAAAATAATAATGTTATACTTCTTTGATAAAATAATATCTTTATAACTTTTTACAAATCACAATAAATAAACTTCTTTAATTTCAATTAAATTCACATCGTAATCAAAATCGTAATTATTATTAAAAACTTAATTGTTTTGTCAAGGCTAAAACTTTAATGATTTTTTTTTAAGTCTATTAGTAAAAAATAATCATCGACTTCCGATACTAAAAAAACGCCTGTTATTATTTTTGATTATTGTTTTTTCATTTCCAGTTAAAAAATATACTTTTCGTTGAATTCAGTCAAAGATCAAGCGCTCGATAAAATCGTTAAAATGCAATGTAAATTACGGCGTATACGTTTCAGTAGATGTTAATGAGGTAAGAGATCGGTCAAGAGATGAGATAAAAGAGCTGAGGCAGAAAGATATTGATAATGGATGGATTCATGTCCGGAGCATGTATTATGGATGTTAAGACGAAAAAAAATCACTCAAGTAGGGATAAATAGGAATCTCTGACACTTTACTTGGTGGATGTAAATATTTGAAGGAAACATCTCGAATTGACTACATAATAAACGATCACTTAACATATTTATGTGTTTACAATCACGTATACCAAAAAACCGATACCTATTTTTATCTTTTTTTAATGGAGATATTTTTTTACAGCTAAATGTAAGGTCAAATTTACTGAAACACATGTATTAGCTTTCCTTGTTGGATATAAAAGACAACGTCATTTTCAAATCAGTTTAGTTTGCCGTAAGTTCGTTGTGTTGTTAAGACCATCGTATAATTTTATAGAGTGGCTTTTCTTTTAACTTTAATTCTATTGTTTTAGCGACAATATGATTGAATGGGTTATCTGTATACTGGCAGGATTTTTGGTTTACATCTTATTTTTCCGGAAAATTAACTATGTACAGGTAAGAATTTTTTTTCAACTTTGAATTTTTTAAAAATTAATTTTGAATTTTTATTCTTATTGATTTACCGAAATTTCATTTAAAAAATATAATTTTTCATTAATGAAAGAATTAAGACGGTTTTTATTAAGCAATTAAAAATTGGTTGAAACATTACTAAAATATCAACAATTGACTGATAAAAAAAAAATTTATTGTAAAAAAATTGAAAGAAAACTCGGAACTAGTGTTTCTAGACAAAAGTAGCTAAAAAATTTTTTTAAAAATGATTTCTATTACAATTTATTTAAAAAGAAGGTAATGATACAAATCTTACATTATATATTTTTGCTGAGACTATAACTTCAATAAAGTGCTTCGAAAGTCAATTAAATTTCCATAGAACTTTGATACTTAATACATGATATTAAATGTGTTTAATAATAAATGTAAGCATTTTTTTACATGGAATACATTTTAAATTGCACAAATTAAATAAAAATGTGACGTTTTAAGCTTATTAGTAATTTTTTCCGATTAGAATTTTAGCCGGTTTTAACAGAAAATTAGTAAAGAAACTTTATGGTAGTTCAATTAATTCATTGCGGACCTTTCAAGATTTTTCTGGAAAAAAAAGGAAACTGCGGAGCTGTTCTCGAATTCTTGCGAAATTGAAACTGAAGCTAGTCTGACAGAGTTCCGCTAAGTTTCCTCCAGATTTTCCTGAGAAACCGTAAAAAGCCCGTAGTAAATTAATAAACCTACCATAATTTTGCGAATCTATATAAAAAACTTTATTGATTTTCTATCGAAAAAAAAATAAAATTTTGGACGGAAAAAAATGATTAGTAAACTAAAATTTCATATTTATATTCAATTTTATACTAAAATTACTACAACAGTTATTTGATAAATAACTGTTGGTAAATAACATAAATTCACTTAGCTTAAATTCTTTTAAAATCAGTACTTTTGAATTCTTCATGAAACGTGAACGAGAAAATGAACCTTAATTTCTAACTTTTAAAGAAGAAAATGAATCCTAATTTTCAAACCGTTTATATTCTTTTTCACATTTCTGTTTACATAAGTTTATTGTTCTAGATCATCTCAGATTATCATCTTCTATAATTTGTATTTTTTGTATCACTGAGTTAAACTGTTAAATTTTTAAAAA